TGTACCCACCGCCATAACTGGCTAATTTTTTTTGTATTTTTAGTAGAGATGGTATTTTATCATGTTGGCCAGGGTGGTCTCAAACTATTGACCTCAGGTGATCCACCTGCATTGGTCTCCCAAAGTGTTGGGATTACAGGTGTGAGCCAGTGTGCCTATTAATGAAATTCCAGACACGTCTCTGCATACTACGTGATAAGAGTATTCTGCATAGTCATTCCTGCACAAGAAGAGACAGCATTATTCAATAACAAATGTCAATGATTTTGAACTATGTGAATATACCCACTAAACATCAAGTAAAGTATAATTATCTCAATCTCCTGTTGGTTATACCCTACAAATGCCTGCAGACATGATAATGCAGCATGATATCAGTTAAAGTGTGATGGAGTGGTCGTCAGAATGGGAAGAAAAGTGGTCTTACTTGATCATGGTTAAAATATCTTGCTTTTGCAAGATATTTGCAACTTTGGCAAAGTTGTATTTCTTTGTGAGTTTATTACTAAAGTTCCACCTAAGGGAACAGAGAGGGTCCTAGATCTTAACCTTTATTAGCTGTATGTTTCCTATGACTCTAAGAATATTAAAATTCCACTAAAATTGTCAAGCATAATAGAAATGTACTAAAGACAAACTGTTACCACTAAGTGGAGAAAATAAAGTGTAATATTCATATATTGATACACATAGAGCTTTGCTATCAATTTATATGCTTCAAATATTTCTGACTTTATTAAGAATTTAGTCTATGCTGTCTCAGTGCAATGTGTTACATTTATCCCTGCATTTGAAAAGTAGAAGATTCTATCATTTATTTTAGTTTCAGATTCAGATATTTAAAATCAGTTATTTATATTAAGTTGTATTCTATACCTTATTATAAATAAAAATAATATTTGTTCTGTTCTGTTCACAAATATAATAAATTGTTTGGGTGATACTAATGAAAGCTCATAATACCTGTTTCTTCCAAAAAGTTTTAACTGGACTAAAAGGGACAAAATAACCTAACAGTGAAGACTGACTTCAATGAAGTCACAGGATGCCTCAGCCTCCCAGGTATCTGGGATTACAACAGACATGCACCACTATGCCTGGCTAATTTTTTGTATTTTTAGTAGAGACGGAGTTGAATGCAAATGTTGAACACATTCTGCATTGGGCAGGGAAAAAAAGCATTCTCCATGTGTGGTTCTCATCTTACAATGATGGTTATGTTCTTTGGATCTCTACGTTTTGATATGGATAAATGGCTTCCTTGTTCTACACTTTAATAATCCCCAGGCTTAACCTCTTGATCGACAGCTTTAGCAACTTAGAGGCTAAACATGCCTTTTATAGAGTCTTTAAAAATTAACACAAACTTTGTCATTAATGTACACTATGGAACATCGTTCCAATAAATTATGAGAAAAGATTTGTCACTTAACAGTATTTCTAATATGTATAATAACATTATTTATGATGCTACCAAAATGACCCATTTTAACACATCAAAAATAGATTGCTATCATTATATTCAGCCAACTAATCCTCAAACTATAGAGCTCAATTAAATACCACTTCATCCCAAACTGTCTTTCTTCGGATTTAATATTTTCTTTAGTAATCTCATACCTTATATTCTACCAATGGAACAATAAAAGTCATGATATATTTTTATGTCAACTATAAGTATATGTCTGGTGGAATTATACTATAATTTCCAAAATATCCTTGGTCAATGACTGTGGTATTATCAAATATTGTATTATTTTTCTAGGAAAACATTTTTTCATTTACAAACAAATTGTGTGTGTGTGTTTCTGTGGTATACTTAATACGTGCATAATATTGTGTAACTGAAATGCTGACAAAGTTATATTTATAATTTCCTGTGTTTAGTCATATTGCACAATTCAATTATTCAGTTAAACAGAAACATAAAATATTACAACTTTTTCTAATGGAAAATTCTGAGAATAATTAACAAACATCCAAGGCACTCTCCCTCAGGTAATTATGTACAATTTATTTATCCTTGAATCAGATTGAAACTTCAACCAAATGAGTCTCAAGGGGGTTAGAAAAAACCTTAAATCTATTTTGTAGCCACGTACGAGGGCTAAAGAAGTAGAAAGCAAAGCAGATTCCTCATTGAAGTAAGTAGAAACATTGTCATTGACAATTTTTAAGGGCAGAGCTTAAACTAGGTTATCACCAAAGACGTTGAAGAGCCTTAAACTCTGCAAACTATTTCCTCATGCAATATAGAGCTATTAACTTAAAGTTTCATGCTTTTTATCTGTTTTTTAATTGCATTTTAGGTTTTGGGGTACATGTGCAGAACATGCAAGATGGTTGCATAGGTACACACATGGCAGTGTGTTTTGCTGCCTTCCTCCCCTTCACCCACATTTGGCGTTTCTCCCCAGGCTATCCCTCCCCAGCTCCCCCCACTGTCCCTCCCCTATTCCCCCCAATAGACCCCAGTGTGTAGTACTCCCTTCCCTGTGTCCATGTGTTCTCATTTTTTATCATCCGCCTATGAGTGAGAATATGAGGTATTTCATTTTCCGTTCTTGTGTCAGTTTGCTGAGAATGATGTTCTCCAGATTCATCCATCCCTACAGAGGACATTAACTCATCATTTTTGATTGCTGCATAATATTCCATGGTGTATATGGGCCACATTTTCCCAGTCCAGTCTACCATTGATGGGCAATAGGTTGGTTCCAGGTCTTTGCTATTGTAAACAGTGCTGCAATGAACATTCGTGTGCATATATCCTTATAGTCTGTTTTTTTGTTTGTTTGTTTGTTTGTTTTTGTTTTTGTTTTTGTTTTTTTGAGACGGAGTTTCGCTCTTGTTACCCAGGCTGGAGTGCAATGGCGCGATCTCGGCTCACGGCAACCTCTGCCTCCTGAGTTCAGGCAATTCTCCTGCCTCAACCTACTGAGTAGCTGGGATTACAGGCACGCCCCATCATGCCCAACTAATTTTTTGTATTTTTAGTAGAGACGGGGTTTCACCATGTTGACCAGGATGGTCTCGATCTCTTGACCTCATAATCCACCCGCCTCGGCCTCCCAAAGTGCTGGGATTACAGGCGTGAGCCACCGCGCCCGGCTATAGTCTGTTTTTAACAAGAATCTTCTATCATTATTTACCTAGTACCCTTCCTGTCCTATTCTCATTTCCTATCTGTGCATGTTACAGCATTTATGAGAACATATTCTAAAGGCAGGATATCTTTATTTGAATAAAGAACAGATGTGGCATCAGCTACATTTTTACCCCAGAACTGCGTTTTCAAGAAATTAATTCTTGCCTGAAATTCTGGAATGCTCTTTCTGTGATTAGTTAAATAGCTAATTCCTTCTCAACCTTTAGATTTCACTTCAAAGGCCATGTTCTCAGAAGGGCCTTCCTTGTGAAAGTCTTAATATTCCATGTTAAGGTATTCTCCCAGCTTTTTCTAGTGTATTCCATGTTAAAGTATTCTCCCAGGTTTTTCTTGTTTGTTTTACTTATTATGCTTATTTAAATCTGCAATTATCATGTTTATATGTCTTCTAAACATAGTTTTCTCTTCACTATCATTACAATAACATATCCATGATCTGAAGCTTGAACATAGCCTGGAACAAATTAAAATGTTATCCAATATGTGGCAAATAAGAGGATGATTCACAAATCATCTGGTCTTATTTCTCTGCTTTTTATAAAATGGTCACTTCATTATTTTTTCTCACTGCAGAATAATCATTTATTTTTGTTTCTACTCTATCTGTTTTCGAAGAACAGAAAATGTCAGTAGCCCTGGGCTTTTAAAATTCAGACATGTAATAATATATCCTTAACTCTCTGGAACTTAAGTGTGAACTTTAAAGTAAGGAACTATATGATAAGACGTATTTGGACCGGGTGCCTACCACTGGAACTATCAACTGTGACTCCAACAAGACATGAATTGACTTAGTTAGGGGCAAATAATCATGATTAAAATAACCAACTCTAGGAAAATATTCATTCATATTAAATAGCATGCTTAATCTATGGCAAATACATACAACATAATTATCATAAATCTCTCAAAATAAAAGTGTTTATTTTTATTACAATAATACAAATATCACAAAATGTAAAAAAATAATAAAACAGGTCAGCTAAAATTAAGAGCAGATATTTCTTGTAAATTTAAGATATATAACATTTTATAAACAAAAAAATTGATTTAAAAGAAAAACAGTGAAAAGAACACAGAGAATTTTATGATCTTGTAGGACAAGGAAAAGAATAGACATGAGAGAGAAGAAACAGAAAGTCGTACCCAGGAAAGCAGAATGTCAAGGAATTACAAAAATGATACAAACTTTACTGATATGATTTATGGAAACCTAAAAAGAGAATTGGTAACCTGAAAAATAGATCTACAGACATATCTCCATGTATTTTTGTCTGAGTTAATAAACCGGAAAGTGAGAGAAAGCAGTAAGCAGACATGCAATGTTGTAATCTGCAAGCTCAATATGCATCTAATACATGTTATAAAAGGATATAATTCTTAAAATGTGAAGGTATAGTACCTATTCTCGAGACAAGGGAAGAAGTATCAGAGTAGGAAATTGCCAGCAGCCATTGGATTATTTGGGGATATACAATTTCTTAAGCCTTTCTCATGGTCAATGCAAAAGACATCAGGTACATCTCGGCTTCAAATGTTTGCAAGCTAAGAACTAATTCAATTACACTGCAAGGCAGTAAACCCTCAAAATGTTGCAGCTTGTTGGGGTAACTATTTACCTTGCCATACTAAATTTACCACACTTGCTTTACTCTCCCCCAAATGATTGCAAAGCTGATTTAGTAGACTGAGAACACAAAATTAATAACTAAGTTAGATAAACCTGACAAGAAGATCTCACCCAGGAATTGTCCTTACCATCTAATGAAAGTCCTTGAATATTATTCCTTAAAGTCTATAACCATTTATTTTCTTCCTCAAACAGATGAATTTCCGAACTCTTAAATGGCTCCTGAAAATGTCACCGGGGTCACTGAGTTTATTCTCACAGGTGTCTCTGACTCTCCAGAGCTCCAGTTTCCCCTCTTCCTGGTCTTCCTGGTGCTCTATGTGCTGACCACGGCAGGGAACCTGGGCATCATCACCCTCACCAGTGTTGTCTCTCGACTTCAGACCCCCATGTACTTTTTCCTGCGACATCTGGCTATCATCAATCTTGGCAACTCTACTGTCATTGCCCCTAAAATGCTGATTAACTTTTTAGTAAAGAAGAAAACTACCTCATTCTATGAATGTGCCACCCAACTGGGAGGGTTCTTGTTCTTTATTGTATCGGAGGTAATGATGCTGGCTGTGATGGCCTATGACCGCTACGTGGCCATTTGTAACCCTCTGCTCTACATGGTGGTGGTGTCTCGGCGGCTCTGCCTCCTGCTGGTCTCTCTCACGTACCTCTATGGCTTTTCTACAGCTATTGTGGTTTCACCTTGTATATTCTCTGTGTCTTATTGCTCTTCTAATATAATCAATCATTTTTACTGTGATATTGCACCTTTGTTAGCATTGTCTTGCTCTGATACTTACTTACCAGAAACAGTAGTCTTTATATCTGCAGGAACAAATTTGTTTTTTTCCATGGTTACAGTTCTAGTATCTTATTTCAACATTGTTTTGTCCATTCTAAGGATATGTTCATCAGAAGGAAGGAAAAAAGCCTTTTCTACCTGTGCTTCGCATATGATGGCAGTCACAGTTTTCTATGGGACGACGCTATTCATGTATTTGCAGCCCCAAACTAACCACTCATTAGATACTGATAAGATGGCTTCTGTGTTTTACACATTGGTGATTCCCATGCTGAATCCCTTGATCTACAGCCTGAGGAATAATGATGTGAAGGTTGCCTTAAAGAAATTCATGAAAAATCCATGCTACTCCTTTAAATCAGTGTAGTTTTAGAACTCTATATATAAATGAAAAGATAGTTCATATAGCCCGCCATTATGTAAGAGAAAGAAAAGTTTTGGTGCCTGCCTTACAAGTTTACAATCCTAGGAATTACCAATAGGTAGGATTTGAAGAGCATTGAATTTAAATAAAAAAATTCTGAAACTTTTTGAGTTATGAAAATAATACAAAATGAAAATATTATTCATGAACTTTGCTCAGAAATAATCAGGTAATCAGTTTGAATAAAATATTTCCAGGAGTAAGGAAAAATATCAATTTTTAAAAGGGTAAGTTTGAACAGAGCAACAAAATATGAATGAGAGAATTAACGTCAATATTTCCCATTCTGTGAACTCCTTTTTATTCCTGGGTATGGTTGGATAGTTGATCACTGCATCTTGAAAAACCGTAACTACAGATGATTAAAATCCCTTTTACAACTAAGTTGGCAAACTTGGACTGACAATTATATTTAAAATAAAGCTCCTTAACTCTTTTTAATTGAATAAACAATATATACATACTAACAACTAATACATATTTTAAATCCTCACCAGGATATAATTGAAAATATTTTATTCCAGGTAATATTTATATGGTTTTTCAATATAATGCACAGACCACTATCACTGAATATGCTTTTATACTGAGTTTGATTTGTAAACATCAGATTTCATAAAGATTTTCTTTTCTCTCCTCTATCATTTTCATTTAATATGTGAAACAAATGTCCTATTTTGGTATATTAAAAAAATTTTTTTAAAGACTTGTTCATGGAAGTGTCTTACATAATTCTACTTTTAAAAATTTTTTTGTTCTTTTTTTCTGATAGTTTTTGATTAGTAAGTGTACACTTAAACCTATTGTATAACGTCTAACATATAGGAGTAATCAGACTACATCTCAGACTTATCAAATCCAAATCATGAGGCAAAGATTAAAAAATTCATGTTATAAGAATTGTACAGAATTCCCAATGGGATTCCAGCATTGAAACTTAGGAATATATCCTTACAAATAAAAAACTAGACTGGAAGATACATATGGAAGATTATGTTGATGTTCTATGTATGTGTTCCTTTTACTTGTAAGTGGGTTCCAGTGTTGAAGAGTTCCTTCAGGTATATGTACTCAATCTTCAGTCATGAGTAATTATTATTTTAAAAAGAAATAAATACAACTCTACAGGAAAAAATTAGACTCAAGTAACTGGAAAAGCAATAATTGGGTATCTTTTATTTTGCCTTGGTGTTGAGCTATTTAGTCTACTTTTTATGCCAATCATTCTTTCACTTGGTAAAAGAGTGAAAAGGCAGAAAAAAGCTATCTTGTTGCATAAGATGAGATTTTTGAGGTAACATAATCACTTTTCCACAGTCCCAAATTTCATCTCATTGTTATCATGTATTACATTTCCATCATAATTTTTTTTATAAAAAGTCATCTTTGGATTCCACTGAGTATTGTTTTCTAGTTAGGTCTTCTTTTGAACCATGGAATAACATAGCCACATGTTTAACAAAATTTGTTCCACCAAACTCAGTTTTTATAAGCTATAAAGAAGGCCCTCAAATGACCATTTTTGAATTTAGAAAGGCTAGGAGACCATAAAATTATTTGTAGCCAAATATGACAAATAAAATATAATGAATTTTACCATAATTACTATATACTGATGGCATGTTTCTAATTAAATTTTCAAGTCTAAATGTTATATGAAAATTTATCATTTGAAAAACCATTGGTTTACTTAGTATGATAATAAATTAATGGAGTACTATTTATGTGTATGCATATAATAATCTGGACATTTCCAATAAAGAATTATGCTTCTTGAAATTAATTTGCCAGAAATATTTGAGAATCTACACTAGTGTGGTACTGTGAAGGGTATTCCAGAAAATATGTGACTTTATTTGGACCCTAAAGTAGGGAAAATATTAAAACACTCAGTGAATCATGATAAAATTGTGTTAGGGGTATGTTTTTTCCTTTTTAATAAATTTTGTGTTGTGCAAACTAATGGTGCTATGAGTACAGCGTTATCTGGAAGGAGATTTCTGGGTATCTTAATCTTCAGAAGTTTTTTATAGAAACATTCAGTCCTGTCTGTTCCACCCTTCCTCCCTTCTATGGATCTCCACACTTTGGTTTTCTCTATTACTTTCATTTATTACTCAGTTTTATTTTGTTTTGTTTTAAAGAAACTATTGCTTTTTTAAAAAACATGCAATGTTTATAGTAATTAAATGATTCACTATAAATTTATCATATCTATATATATATACACAGATATAGACTGATGACTGTTTATCTACCACTATCAATATTGCAAATTTAAAAGGAGGTTTATTAAAATGTTATTTGTTAAAGGAAATGAGAATTTAGAACTAGGAAGGAGAGAATTCTTACACTGGTGAGTCAAAGAGATATTGTTTCCTGCCACATAATACGATGTGAAAGGATGGGATCAAAGATGACATGCAGGATGAAAAGTTGCAGTGATGATAAGGGTGGTGTAGATGGAAAAACAAAATGTAAGATGTGGAAAATAGAGGTGGAGAAATGAAGACATTGTGGTATAACGTGTCCTGTGCTGTACCTTTGATGCATTCATTGCATAAATACCTATTAAGGACCATGTACATCAGAAAAACATAATGCAAGATTATCCTGTTGCAGTGAGAAGAACTATGATAGAAGATTGTATAGAATTTCTGTATTGTGACTTGGGCCATAGAGAATAGGAAAGAATCAGAAACCAACATATCAAATGTAGAAAACTCCCTTAAAGCCTAGTTTCTTCTGATGATCACTAGAGACCAGCACTGTTCTTTGTGACCTACAGAGCTCTTGAATATACCGGAATTAAATTAAAAATAAATTCGATAAAAGAAATAAAATATCGCTACAATGTAAACTTTAAAACACTGATGAAAGAAATTGAAAAGGACGCAAGAAAGTTGAAAGATACCCCATGTTCATAGATTGAAATAATCAATTATTACTAACAGGTCCATATAATCCAACATGATCTACAGATTAAAAGCAATTCCTATCAAAATACTAATGCCAGCCTTCACAGAGACAGAAAAAAATTCCAAAAATTTATACACCAATGTGCATATCTTGCCTCCCACCATTTTGCTTGATATCCTGCTTACCCCCCAAAATTTGGAAACACATTAACATTTATCCATAGAACTGTCTTACTTTTCCTAAAGAAACATCCCCACATTCCAGAAGTACCAAATAAATATTTACTGAAATCCATATCATGATGAATTTTCTATCTGCTAATAATAATCATTATTTATGTGCAGTAGGAGTGAGACAAGGCTTAGAGACAAAGATTTTTTCTTCAAGAGGACTTGTCATGCGGATTCAGCTTGTGAGATGTATGTCAATTATCTTTTTTCTTGGAAATAAATTCATTTGCTCATTAAAAAATGATGCAGGGGCCGGGCGCAGTGGCTCAAGCCTTTAATCCCAGCACTTTGAGAGGCCGAGGGGGGTGGATCACGAGGTCAAGAAATCGAGACCATCCTGGTCGACAGACCATCCTGATCAACATGGTGAAACCCCGTCTCTACTAAAAATACAAAAAAAATTAGCTGGGCATGGTGGCACGTGCCTGTAATCCCAGCTACTCAGGAGGCTGAGGCAGGAGAATTGCTTGAACCCAAGAGGCGGAGGTTGCGGTGAGCCTAGATCGCGCCATTGCACTCCAGCCTGGGTAACAAGAGCAAAACTCCGTCTCAAAAACAAAAAAAAATGATGCAGGAAACATGAATACTTTTTCTCTGAGCAACCTGCCTTTTTAGGTTTCTGTTACACTTCAGTCATTATATTCAAAATGGTAATTTCTTGTATTAAAAAATATTTTAACCTTCAATGCACATGCTGCTCAGTTAGGCTGCTCCTAGCTTTCACCACCCATGATCAATACCTGGCCATTTGTAACCCTTCTTCATATATGGTCACCACGTGCCCAGAGTCTGCGTTCAGCTTGTGTCTGTCTCCTATAGCTGTAGCTTCCTCATGACACTTTCACACTATTTTCAACTTTTGCCTCCCTTATTGCCCCTGTGTATCATTGATGTTCTGCAGAAGCCTGTTCTTAGTATTTGATGTTCAGAAAATTCTCTTGACACAGATAGGATGGCCTCTGTGTTCTACACAGTATTCATTCCCATGTTGAACCCCTTGATCTACAGTCTCAGGAACAAGGACGTGAAGGATGCCCTGAGGAAAATCATCATCAACAGAAACCAGGCATTTTTTAAATTCATAAAGTAAGAAAACAAGCTTGAAAAAACAAAAGAGTACATTCCTTATGATCTGTTTTCTCCCTGTTAATAAAATCCATATTGGTCTTAGTTGTCAACCAGTAAAGATCGGGTCACAGTAAAGTGAAATAATTCTCTGTGTTCTTTGTAAGCAAAGAATTACAATTACATGCAGAAGGTATCACTCAATTTACATCAAATGCTATTGCTCACATAAAAATATGTAGATTTTAAAAATTGATGATCTCATCTGATAGCTAAACAACTACATACCTGTCAAGAATACACAGAAGTAAAGGCATCCAGAACAAGTTTAAAGATCACTGGACTGCTTTAATAATATATTTATAAGAGTAGCTTAACAATTCAAATAATATATTCCAAAGTAAGTTGAATAATATTTCCCAATTAAATTACAATAAAGTTTCAATGAGCGATTTTGACTAGAAGTGAGGTTTCTCATTAGAAAAATGTTTTCACTGAAAACATTTGGCAATGTCTGCAAATATTGTTGATTTCATGGTGATAAGGTGGTGTGAACAAAGGTTATTGCTATCTACAGATGTTACTTAAGCTGCAAAATAATCTAATCTTCACAAGGCAGCCCCTTGCACACACAAAAAAAACTTAGCCCAAAATGTTAATAGTACCAATTCTAAGAAAGCCTACCTAAGCAATTGTTGTTTAATATTATTCAATTAATAATTCTTTCATTGATTTTAATCAGCTCAAGCTGGAGAAGAGTGCCACTCAATTCTTCTACAATATTGCCCTTTTCTTTTTTATTTGAGCTCTCAATTATTAAGACTAATACTAAAATTAAAAGTTCAATTATGGTTTTATCTTTCTTATCTGTCAGTTTTGACATTAAATATTCTGGGGCTTTTTGTCATTAGTACACAAATTTATTTTTTTATTTGTATAGTTTTTAACTTTTATTTTAGGTTCAGAGGTTTTTTATATACATCAATTGGGTGTCACTGAGGTTTAGTGTACAGAGTATTTTGTCACCTAGATAATAAGTATAGTGCTTGATTGATACTATTCCCTTTCACCCTTCTTGTACCCTACACCCTCAAGTCGGCCCCAGTGTCTGTTGTTCTCTTCTTTGCGTCCACATGTACCCAGGATTTAGCTCCACTTACAAGAGAGAACATGCGGTATTCAGTTTTCTATGACTGTGTTAGTTCAGTTAGAATAATGCCCTCCAGCTCCATCCATGTTCCAGCAAAAGATATAATCTTGTTCTTTTTTATGGCTGCATGGATTCCATGGTGAATGTGCATCACATTTACTTTGTCAGTCTGTCATGGATGGGCAGTTAGGTTAATTACATGCTTTTTGCTACTGTGAATAGTGCTACAATGAACATTGACAGGCATGTGTTTTTATAATAGAATAATTTCTATTCCTTTGAGTATAAAACCAGTAATGGGATTGTTGGG